TGTAATTCACAGCTTTTTTTTTTTTGCTGTGAACAGAGAAGAGGTTCAACAATAGCTGAGCTTTCACTCCAGCCAGTTCTTCTCAGCTGCTTTTTTTGCAGCCCTAGGCAGGTTGCCCCCCCCCTCAGGGCAAAGCTAAGCTATTTAAAATCAATTCGAGCGGGGACCATTCCTGAGAAATCTTTTTTATTACTATTCAAAATACCAGCTTCAATTTTGTAAAAGGCTTCTTTGTCTAGTTGCGTTACAAGATGGCGATTTTATAGCTTCTGTGTTTGATATGTGACGTACTCAATCAGCCCTACTCTCCTGAAGACTTCTCCTTATTAACTGTTAAAAGCTTACAAATAGTACGCCATCTACAACTGAGGGGAGCAGAGATTTTGTTTGTTGGCTTGTTTGTTTGTTCGTTCTTTTTTATAATGGCTCCCAAATCGAAGCAGTCCAAGCGCTTCCTTAAAAACACATCTCAAGAAATTGTTATAAAGTCGCTGCCCTTGCCTCCTACGCCCTCTACTGGAGAAAAGGTATACCCATCTCAGTTTGAAATGGTTAGGAAATATTATATGCTGCTGAGCCCACCACTCACTGATCTTCCCTTTTATGTAATAAAACTGGAAACACTGCTAACACTGATACAGCTAAGACAACTCATCAGGATCCTATTGCTTTTGTCAGGATGAGGACAGCAGCAATTTAGTATGCTGCAAATTCCTTTCCTTTGGAGCATCCATACAACATCACAATACACATACAAAAGAATGGAGCTTGCATAGTGATGTTGCTTTTGTCGGTCTTGTTCCTCTTATCCCGTGGATCCTGATGGCAGAACTTAAGACGTCTTAAGCATGAGACATGAAAGTTAAGTTATAGGGACATGGCATGATTGTATGATTAGTTACTGGTGGGAAAAGGCCTTAACACTGAAGAAGGCCAGGTTGTAGACTGTATGAAATAGTAGTGGCTGATAGCAAGAGAATCTGCTTTGCAGTCTCCAGGCTTCCTATCTAGGATCTGTTCTTTAATCCCAAGAGTTGCCTTTTAAAAATTTGTCTATTTTTGCCCCTTACCCAAATTTGCTTCCTAGCAATGGCAGAGCAAACCTGGTCATGTTTCTTAGATAAGCACCAACTTGCATGTCCTAAATGTTCACACTGTCTTATCATTAGGTGGCAAAGTATCTGAAGCTGAAGCCCAAATACTTTGGCTATCAACAAATGATAAGAGAGGACTCCTTGAAGGAGACCCTGGTGTTTGGGTAAGACTGAAGACAAAATGAGAAGAGGACCACAGAGAAATTAGGTGGTTTGATAGTGTCATCAATGCAATAAGCTTGAATTTGGGCAAACTCTAGGAGACAGTAGAGGACAAGGGGACTGGCGTGCTATGGTCCATGGGGTTGTGAAGACCTGGACACACAACTGAACAACAACAATTAAGTTCTGTCAAGGCCAAACTTTTTTCTCAAGTCAGTTTCTCCTCACTCTAGAGATGAAGAACCCCTGAAAATACAAGATGCCAAATGAAATAAAAGCAGAGGGCTCCAGAAGTTCTTACATTATCTTTATCCCACAATTTCAATGTATCAAAAAGTGATTCACAACTCATCCTCATTAAAATAAACTTTAAACTAAACTCTTGAGATTGCACTTAATTGTGCATACCTCTCACCAAAAATTACAACTGGCAGGTCTTAATTCTCTCCTCAAAAAATGATACTTCAAAATAGATTGTGGGATGATGTTGACAAATTTTAAAGTCAAGAGAGCAAAGAAAAGGTTACTTCAAGCTTGTAAAGTACTATGTTCATAGTTGGTATAAAGTGAGAACTCTATCAATTATGAAAGCTAACAATTATAAGAGCTGAATAAGCTTCTTGGATGAGAAGTGAAACGTCTTCAAAGAAAAAACAGAAAGTCCAGTTGCCTCTTGAAAAAGCACCTTTGTGACAACCATGACCTGGATGACTGAAAAGTTCCATAGACATCTATCAATTATGGTTTATTCAGTGCCCCAAGATCAGCAAGCCAGGCTTTTGTGCAATGAATGAATCCAATGTCAGACCCGCAAACCATCTTTTCTTTTGAGGTTTCAGGCCTGCCACATTTTCTACTGTGGGAAAATGGGAGGGGGGATTATACGGAGTTGGGTAATTTGTAGCCATAACAACATTCTTCTTAGAAAGTCAAGGTCGCTTTTGTCTCTGCACCCGGCCAGATGTGGATAGGAGGAATCTGTCTTCATGGCAGTGAAAGATTAGACCGTGTGATGAACTTGTGGGTGTTGGGGCAGGATCTTGAACTTTCAACTAGGTGGCAAAACCTGGAAGCTTTCAGATTCAGATTTTCTCAGATGTGCCAACATGGCATCTCTAATAAAGTGGAACTTTGAGGACACACAAGGCTTGGAGTTTTATTTCATTGGGGATGTTTTTTGGAACCCTCACATCCAGTTTATATGCAAATTGGTTTCTTTCTTCTGTAGATGAAAACATGTATTTTGCTTTGAATGAGTTCCTGGACTCATCCTGGACTTTTAGTGAGTTCCTGGAATCAGAATTTTATTCTTCAGCATCCAAAGTCAGGCTAATGCAAGACCTCATTTACTTTAGATATAAATATATGCTGTTTTTTCTTTAAAAAAAAATTCCATATACCATTGTCTGTTTTCCATAGCTCAGTCACACATTAAAATTCCTTATATTGAATCTGATTATCAGTCAAGTGGTCGTGGCTTTCTAACCTTTCAACATTGAATCAACAAGTATTTGCTAATTCTATCTAGAAATGGTGTTGGAAATTAAGTATGGATGTGTTGCATAGCCACGATAAGCACTTCATACCTACTCTAGCTTGCCACCCATCCCTTCTTAGATTGGAAAAGTCTAGCAATGAAAAGGGGTTAGATCCATACCTCAGATTGAGTTGGAAGGGATTTTGTAGGTCATCTAGTCCATCCCTCCACCCAAGCAGGAGACCTTATACCATTTCTGACAAATGGCAGTCCAATATCTTCTTGAAAGCCTCCAGTAATGAAGCTCCCAAATTCGAAGGCAAGCTGTTCCATTGGTTGATTATTCTGTCAGAAAATTTCTCCTTATTTCCTAGGTTGAATCTCTCCTTGTTCAGTTTCCATCCATTATTCCTTGTCTGGCCTTCAGGTGCCTTGGAATATGGCCTGACCCCTTCCTCTCTGTGGCAGTCCCTCAAATATTGGAACACTGCTATCAAGTCTCCCCTAGTCACTAGACTAGCATGCCCAATTCCTGTAACCGTTTTTCATATGTTTTAGTCTCCAGTCCTCTAGTCATCCTGGTTGCTCTTCTCTGCACTTTTTCTAGAGTCTCAAAATCTTTTTTATACTGTGGTGACCAAAACTGGATGCAGTATTCTAGGTTTACTCTTACTAAAGCTTTTTAGAGTGGTATTGATTTTGATTTTATCTCCTTTTTAATGCAATTTAGGATTTCATTGGCTTTTTTGGCTGCCGCCACACACTACTGGCTCATATTTAACTAGTTGTCCACGAAGACTCCAAGATCCCTCTCAGTTACTGTTATTGAGCCTGTTTTCACCCAGTCTATACGTGTACTTTTGGATTTTCTTGCCTGTGTAAAACTACTTTTCTCCACACTGAATTTCATTTCATTTCAGATAGGGCCCAGTGTTCAGGTCTATCAAGATCTATCTAGATCTTAAGCCTATCATCCAGGGTGTGTTATTCCTGCCAGTTTAGTATCATCCACAACCTCAGTCAGGTGGAATTCATTTGTTATTTGATCTTCATTGCTAATGCAAATTTAGGAATAACAAGGTAATAGTGATTTGATAAGGAATCCAGTGAAGCTGAGTAACACCTGTGATTGTAAGGCCTAATGGGTGACTGTGTAGCAACAGCAACTGTCAGCATAGTGTAGGACTGCAGATCACAGAAGGCATTTTGTATTCATCTGCTTGCCAACTGGATCAAAAATACCTGATTTTCAGAAAGTATCAACTGACTATGGTTATACAAAGCATGAATAAATGCAAATCCACATTTCAGTTCAATAAGTTTAGAAAGCATGAATAAATGCAAATCCACATTTCAGTTCAATAACTTTATTTTATTAGAGATACATTTTAAAAGAATAAATAGCACATTTCCAGGAAACACATAGAAGAAAGGAACTGAGGGCATGGATTATGCAAAGCAAGAAGAAAATTAACTCAATAATGACTATTATAATGCTTGATTAATTTTCCTCACTGTGTTTATTGCTTTCGTAATGCTACTAAATAATACAGGTCTTATTTTTAGTTGCAAGTGCTAAAAATGAGCTATTGCAATTTGACCAACAGCATCAGATCATGATCATTTCCCACTCCCCAAATACAATTGAATTCTTATGTTGAATTTTCTTTTTTCTTACAGAGTGCATTTTTTGCAAAGAGATTTTTTATTTGGCATGTTGGATTTACTATGGCAAGATAAACCAGTTGCTTCTCACAATGGTTAGTTCAGCCTTAGTAGTGTCAACAACTTAAGAAGTATTAGAGAATTCAAAAGGCTGGTCAGAATGAGAACAGCAGAGGAATCCAGATAGTCCTCGACTTACAATCATTCATTTAGTAACTATTTTGAGATTTCAATGGCACTGAAAAGAGTGACTTATGATTGATGCTTGCACTTACAACCATTGCAGGATTCCCATGGTTACATGATCAAAATATGGCTGCTTGGCAACCAGCATGTATTTAGGACAATGGCAGCATCCGTGGATCATGTAATCATCATTTGTGACTTTCCCAACTGGCTTCCAACCAATAAAGTCAATGGGGGAAGCCACATTTTTTAAATGCATGACTCACTTGCTGCATGATTCACTTACTGATTAAGGTGACTCAAAACGGTCATGAAACTGGGCGTGATTCACTTAACAATCATCACGCTTACTAATAGAAATTCTGGTCCCAAATATGGTTTATAAGTTGAGGACTACTATAGGAACCCATAAAGATAACAGCAGCAGCAAGCTGTAAATTTTTTGGCTTTCTTTTTAAAAAGGCACTGTGGAATCTTAAACCGTGCAACTTGAACAAGTCAAGCTTCTCTTTCATCAGCTTCTGATGTAATCAAATGCTGCTTTCCACTTGACCAAATTTCCATCTGCCAAGTCAAACAAGGTGATGTAAGTTGTTATCTGTTTTTGTTCAAAAGTTTCAAATCTGATATACCAATTTTCTTTTTTTCTTCTTTTTTTAAAAAGAAATTAAGGAGCTGGGGCTGGTTGGCTTTACCCTGTGGATACTTTGTTGGCTCTATCTTCTATTTTCTTTTTATTATGAACTCAAATCAGCTGGGAGCATTGCTTTCACTACTTTCAAGTTTTAGAATTAAAAGAAAATGTCTGTGTTTTTGCTGTGAAACTCCAGTACATATTGCAATACCAGTTTTTTGGCACCAACATTTGAACTTACACTTTTAACATTAACATATAAAATTAACAATTTTATATTTTGTTTTCTAAAACCAACTATTTTTAAAATCCTGATTATCTTCAAACATGTAAGATAGTTGGTCAAATTACAGTGTCTTAATTACAGTGCAGTGTATTAGCAACAAATAGAATCCCAGCATTACAATAGCTGCATTTTGAAGCAGCAATAGCAGCTTACAATTTTTTTTTTTAAAAAAAGACTATGTAATTGTGCAATACATTTCAAAATAGAATAGTGTTGAATAACTTAGTGGATAAAGACATGTGAACACTGGCACATTTTCATCTAAAAGACAACAAATGACAATTGTGTACTTAACAAGGGAAAGTATCTAGATCAGGGGTGTCAAACTCACATCGTCACGGTGGCATCACATGACATATTGGGACTTTTCCCCACTTCACTAAACCGGCCGTGGACATGGCCAGTGCGTGACGCATCGGGATCACGGGCCAAAAGTTTGACAGCCCTGATCTAGGTACTGTTGTATTTTATGTGGGAAAGCTGAAGTGATGTAATACCTATGGAACTTATTTGGGTTAAGATAAGAGGAAGATTCCTTCCTCTAAAGAGTTTTATAAAGGATCTTTTGCTCAAAGCTTTTCTCTTAAGAGACATTGCTACTAAAAGAAACACTTCAATTTTGCATATCTCCTATCTTCATTTATTTTATACCCTACTTGTAATTAAATATGGGAGAGCAGGCATGAATCTTTGTATGCGACAGCTCAGTCCTATGCAATTTTAGCAGCATTTCTTCCTCCAAAAAAATGTCTACCTTTGCTCAGTCTCTTCATTTTAATATTAGTGAAGAGAGACATGTCCTTTCTTTTCAGCTACACTAAGAGTTGGTGGCTGCTGTACTTACTTATCTATACATAGTAATGTGGAAGAAATTGTGAAAATTCAGTAGTGAATTCCAGATCAGGAACTGGATTCTGTGGAAGTGCTTTGAATGATTTGCAATTTGCTACTGCTGCTTACATTAAAGGAAATATTAGCAGATAAAACACCCTACGTTTTTATGTAACGTATAGGAGAGGCACTGTTCATTGCCAAACTTGTGACTACTCCCATCCTGCCTGGTTGCAAATATTCATTCTTCATAGCTCCACTTCTCCCAGAGATGTGTAAAAGGAAATACTGGTGCAGAGATTCAAAACAGGCCCTTGTGCCAAATGAGTAGACAGCAAACGATTTTTTTTCTGGCAATGAGCCTATTTTTATAAAATAATTTCATTCCCAACTGATTTTTAATATTTGCACTAGAAATTTTTACAAGCGAAGGCATTTTTACAAAGCGAAGGCATTGCTAGAAATGCTATTTAACTCCTTGTATTTTGCTCCCAGTTTCTTTTCCTGGAGCAATACCTTTATCATGGTTTCAGTAATAATTATTTTTCGAGGAAAAAAAAGCATGTGTATCTCATAGGCTTTGCTAATATAGAACCACTTATTGCTCATAATACTTAAAGTTAGTAGTCTGTTGTAGTCTGCTAAGAGAACAAATATACACTATATAATAAAGCATTTCTACTCAGATTTATCCTTTCTGTTCTCTTGTAGCATTTAAAATTCTATTATTATTAACTTATTTCTAAGCAATTGTTATGTCTCCCTCTCTGTCCATCCATTGTGTTACCTTTGGAATTTAACAGATAGTTCTGTACTAGGAGAAAAACAGAAATGTCATTAAAGTGCAAAGAAAACCAATCTTTTTTTTATCCAAAAACAATGCACCCAACCTTTTTTTCCTGCAGTTATGATACAAAATCGTAACAAGCACTCTACATATAGCCTCACACAGTGACTAGAAACGTGCCAATATTGCTATATGAGTGCAGCTCCTGCTTTCTGACATCATAATGAATATTTGCCATGCTATATATACAGTAGCAGGAAGAAAACAACAGCAACGAGTGATGAGATCTAGTATGGTGCTGGTGATAATTAATGATAGACACAAGATAGTTGGTATGTGGCTGTGAGAAATTAACCGGGTGCTTCATTTAGTGCATATATGACAATAGGTAACTGCTATAAAGAAGGCTTATGAGAGAAATGTATAATGTATACCAGATATGCTACTTGGGCTATGTGTGAAGGAGAAAATACTTCTAGGTTAACCTACCAACATTTGTTTTCACAGCAATTGAAAGAACTAGCTCCACTGGTTCAGAATGAAAAGATTGAAATAAGATTATACATTCAATTTTGTTCATCAGAGAACCAGTTTGGTCTAGTGCAGTGATGGGGAACTTGCACAAAATGCCCAAAATGGAGTGCTGGAAACCTGAAGACTAGCTGGCTGGTATGCATGTGTGTGCCGGCCACCTGGTCTTCAGGTTTCCGATGCTCTGGTGCGCACAAAGACCAGATGGCCGGTGTGCACACAGAGCAGCAGGTGACGGCGCATATGCCCAGAGGGCTCTGCGTGCCACCTCTGGCACGCGTGCCATAGGTTCACCTTGACAGGTCTAGTGTTAAGGCACCAGGCTATAAACCAGGGATTGTGAATTTTAATCCCACTTCAGGCATGAAAGCCAGCTAAATGATTTTGGGATAGTCACTCTCAGCACACAACATTAGGCTCAGGTGACAAAACAATCAATCAATTCCTATAATCTGAGAAAAAGTGGACCCTGCACTAGTGGGAGGAAAGTGCTCAGAAGGGGAAAAAAAACAAAGCAATTTTGTTCAGCTGACTTACAAGCCAACCCTGTTCCTCCTCTTTATGCGATACCATAACATTCAATACCTGCAAAACTATTACTTTCTTTCAGGCCTTCAACTTCAGACCCTGCTTATTTCCATCTCAGTGCAAGACAATTTCCACAATTCTGCTGAGCAATCAACAACGTTCCAAAGGGGCCACATTCACCACTGACACCCCAAATGATGTGGATCCCACAAGCCAACTTAAATCCATTTGGATCAGAATACATTTTGGCTTCTGGATTTTAAGAGCTTCATATTCCTTTGCAGCTAGAATCAAAAGCCCTTTCCTTCTTTCTCAAATGGCCAACTGATCCAGTCAGTCACAAACTGTTTCAAAACATACATTACACTGACTTAGCTGTTGCTTCCATCTATCCTTCTTAACATCCTTCTGCAACTGTACAAGTTAAGATTTAAGCTAGTTAAAATTATTGGGAAGCAGGGAAAAAATAGTGCACCCAAATGAGATGGGACTTAAGTACATATTTCAAGATTTCTAATCCCCCCCCCCCGTCATCTCTCTAGAATAGAAGGACCTAGAAGACAGTAGACCATGAATCCAGGTAGCGTAAATGTTAGCTGCATTCCTTACAAATTTACAAGAAAAAAGTACAGGAATTATAAGGTGTCTCTACTTGAATTAGAAAATTTAGGACTGCATTTGGTTTAAGAGCTGTTTTGGTAGCTCTTGCTGGCTTTTCTTTTACTGTATTATAACACAGAGAAGGATGATCCCAAAGGACTCGAGTCTTTAAGAACAAAAGCATGTTGCAATATTGATTTAAAGCAAAGTGGATTAAAAACAGAAGCTAGAGTCCTGATGATGTCCCCAGTCTTCTTACTATAAACAGTCCAAGAGGTGCCCTGCATGAAATTCTTTTCAGTTCAGCCCAAGCATCAACTTATTTCTGTTGTAGTTGTCAAGTTATTTATACCAGTCTCCCAGAAAATATGCAACACCCAACACATTTTGGTGGGTATTTACCTTGTGCCAGTCACTTGCTTAGTTATGGCACAATTGCCTATTTTGTTATCAATACCCTGTCTGAATTGTGAGGGGAAGAGAAATCCCTCTGTGATTGTTAAAGAGTTCCATTAGGAAACTGCTGAATGCAGCCACTGCCCACCCTCTTTTCCCCCAACCAGATTCTGACGGTTATCTTAAAAGAGCTGAAGGGTCTCTTCCGTGCAGCTTGCTTTTGGATGTCTCATCTGCAGCCCTTCTGATGGGAAGATGGAGGCCTGCAGGTCCACATTGATGCAGAACAGCCCTAGCATCAGCTGGCGATGGTATTCTTCCCATTTTGTCATAACGTCTGTTAGCGAGAGACTGTTCCTGAGCCATTTTGGCAATGCTTCCCCATAAGCCGTGCCCAAAGGGATAGGTAAACTCTGTGTTTTTCGGAGTTCAAGATGGTAGTATAGCCTAAGAGAGAAAGAGAGAGAGAGAGAATTAAACTTTACTGTGCTATTTTGGTAAATATTATTTAACATATTTTGGTTTCCAATGTTGATAATATAAATAAAAAATGGAAGGGGAATGGAGGAGGAGAAAGAAGGAGGGAAAGATGCAGTACACATCCCATTGAAATTGCCCCTTTGCACACAAAGAAGTCAGCAAGATAAGCTAAGGTTGCAGGGAGATGGAACTGAGCAGCAGAATATTTTTCCCTGAGTATCTCACTCTTGACACCCTCTGGCTATTCTGGTCCTGTTTTCTTGGCCCATTAGGAGAAAATGCCACTTCATTACCTTTAAAGGGAGGCTCTGTCCACCCCTCTGACGTAATGTGCGAGCACTGCGCATGTGCAGAAGGCGGTGCGCACGAGAAGACGAGCATGCACTGACATTTGCGAACCGGTAGGGAAGGTACGTGAATCCCACCTCTGTTGGGAACTCTTTCAATAATCCTACAGTGACAGTCTTTGAACAATCTGCTTAAAATTGTTGTTTCAGTTTGTTTCAATCAAAATTGTTTTTCAAAATATAAACCTTTGGCTCCCCCTTTGTAACTGTAGACTTGTAAACTATCGTTGTATCTTATATAACATTTAAGGACCTTAGTTATTTTGCACTTTACAAACTTAATCCAGACACAAAAGTGGATTTTGTTAACCTGGTTTTGAAATGGACTGTACTAGGTATCTTACATTTTATTTCTGTATTTTTATTTATTAGAACATTTCTATTATGGCAGCTATCTTAAGAGTTTTAGGACAAGTTAAAATCCATAAATCCACAAGCTTGAAACAGTAACACAAAATAAAAATAAACAATACATTCAATATTAAAGCAGCAATAACTATACCACAAAAAAATAATCACAGGCACATAGGCTGTGGTTTTTAAAGCACTTGGCCTTTAGAGAAAGGGAAATTCAAGGCTGGAGTGCCATGATAAGAGACCATAGAGAGGGATGTCAAACTCCCGGCCCACGGGCCACCATGAGTTTGACACACCTGCCATACAGATTATAGAAACACAGCTATCCTCAAAATTATTCTGACTGGGGAAATATTCATATATCATTCCAGTCCAGCAGACTCTTGGCTTTAAGAACAAAGCAAACAAACATGACATCTTAATCATGCAAATCTGGAACAGAATCTAAAGGCTCTAATTTCCAAGCGTGGGCACATCCAATTGCAAACTCTCCCAATTTAAGAATGTTGTGGCATTAGTGATATAAAAGCATCGCATTGCGCCTCACAATTCAGTATCTTCGAAATGCAAGATAAGAAGTAACAATCCTACCTGGCTGAAAGGTGACTTCCTAGCTTCTTCTTGGCTTTTCTCATGAAATAATGACAGACTTTCCGTGTCTGTTCTTTCATCCACCTGATGTCCTCTGGAACATCTGGCAGCCATTCAAGCATCCTAAATGTGGCAGGTGCAATGCACAAGTATCAATTGAAAAAAAAACATGTTTCAATATTGTAAACACGCTCAAGTATAGTATTTGCAGGTTCAAGCACTTTACTGAAATTTTTAATTAATCATCCCTGGATTGAGCCACGGTGGTGCAATGGTTAGAATGCAGTTCTGCAGGCCACTTATGCTGACTATCAGCTGCCTGCAATTTGGCAGTTCAAATCTCACCAGGCTCAAGGTTGACTTAGCCTTCCATTCTTCTGAGGTGGGTAAAATGAGGACCCAGATTGTTGGGGGCAATATGCTGTAAACCACTTATAGTGGCTGTATAGCACTGCAAAGTGGTATATAAGTTTAAATGCTATTGCTATTGCCATATGTATCAACANTGTTGGGGGCAATATGCTGTAAACCACTTATAGTGGCTGTATAGCACTGCAAAGTGGTATATAAGTTTAAATGCTATTGCTATTGCCATATGTATCAACAGGAAGCGCATACATAAAACGTACTGTGCTAGAAAAGACAAAAGATCTATCTAGTCCAGCATCCACAGAGATCAACATACAGAACACCATAGGAACATATTCCCCAATAACTGCTATTCAAAATGACTCTAACATTAGGCAGAATATATAACTAATTAATGTCCACTGAAAATCATGGGTGCAGGTTATAATGATGCACAAAGCTGTGACGAGCAATCCCAAAGTAATATGTTAACTCTTAAAATAGCACATGCTAATTAAAACTTGCAACCTTTTGATTAAGCATCTACAACAGTGCTAGCATGAGAATTGGTCCCCAGAATTGGAAAGGCCATTATATACTGTATAGAAGCTACTTCCTCATAGCATTCTCTCCATGTAACTGCAAAGATAGTCGGGTACCATCAAGTCAGAGTCAACTCTAGGTAACCTCAAGAACTTTGTGACCTCTCTCCAAGAACAACTTGTAGCTATTTCCAGGTGTGTTCTGTAATTGTTTGATCTCACTGTTAATTATCCAATTGTCTTCCCCTTTCTTCTAAAAGCCGTAAGCAACAATGAATACTATCTGCCAGATCAAGGGACTGGACACTCTTGGGGTGTATTGTACAGGCTATCTCAATGCATGCCAGATGTCCTTTCAATGAAAAAACAGCCTGTGATGGCGATTATTATCCTGATTGTTATAAAGTAGCAAGGATGATCCAACCCATAGACCTCTTCAGCATAATTCTGCCTTTGAAAACAAGCAGGTATTGGTTTCAGAAAGCCAAACAGCATCCTGGGACTTGCAAGCATGAAGACCACTTGTTGGCAATCACTTCAAGCATCCTTCTAATCTTCCCATTGCAAGTGTCAGTGCAACTGCCTCCCATATTGGTAGGAAACACCATCCACCCCATATATGAATATCTTAGGATGCATAAGGCACTTAGGACCGACTATCTTAACTGGCCTTTTCATCTGAAAAGTCCTAGAGTAACAACACCTTTTCTGGACAAGAAATGATCCAACCACAACAAAGATTTGGAGTAATGACCTCCAGCAATGGGGCATGTACTAATTGCTCTGAAGCAAAAATAAAGTCAAACACATGTCTCTGTGAGCATCAGCATAGAGACTATCTGGATGAAACTTCAGCTGTCACAGAGGCCACTAAGCCTTCCCAGAATCCTACAATACTGTGATGTCCATGTTGCTTGGAAAAGTTGAAGAAGAAAAAAGGAGGATGACCAGAAACAAGCTGGATAAATATGATTACAAAATCAATGAGAAATCAACAAGGTCAAGCTGAAGGCAGACAATTCTGAGGACTCTATCCATGTGGTTGCTAACAGTTAATACAATTGATGGCATTTAATCAATCAGATAAAACCCTAAAATTATAATCAATATTTGAATACATTTTGGGTTATTCTAAAGGATATGGTGTTTTATAATCAATTAAAGAGCATCTCTAAGATTTGGAAAAACAGTGGAATAAAGAATTGGATAATTCCATGTTAACAAATTGATGGTTAGGTCTTAAAATATTATATATTATGATCCTTGATAACATGGTGTTGCAAAGTTCAATATGGATTAAAGAAGTGATTGTATTTTTAATTATATATACAAAACTTAGAATGTATCATGAAATTAAAAAATATTACTTGTCAAGTGGGGATCAGCAAATCAAGCTATTCTTCAATGTTGGCAAGAAAGTGTGATCCAAAATTTAAAATCTAGTGTTTGCTGTCTGATTATGACTTAGTTCTCTCTGATGTCATAGAAAGACCAATCAATATTATTCCACGTGGCCAAGGTTTAATGAAGTGTTTAGTAGGCTGAATCATTCCTATTTGTACCATCTATGCTACTGTTCTTTTCCTTGTATCCTTTCTATTTGTTCCCCCTCCTTTTTCTCCAATACTAAAACACTACAAAAAGATGTATAGCATTAAACAAAGAAGTGAAATCACATGAAAAATAACAAATAGTCTCAGCTTTGTTCCCTTTCTGCATTGAAAGGCAAATCAAGACCCTTTTACAAAAATTTTGACACAAGAGCTAGATCACAGATGTCAAACTTGATCACGTCACATGACTTTTTTGCCTTTGTGGAATTAGGGTGGGAGTGTCCTGCGCGTGATGCATCCAGCCTGCGGGCTATTAGTTTGACACCCTTGAGCTAGATGCTCCTTTAATTGCTTGTTAATCTTTGTTTTGTAGTTGTGTTTTTGTTGTTATATGAGAAAGCCGTGAAAGAGAAGATATTTAGATGCCAAAATATGCAGAATGATGCAAGCAATGGTTTTTCCTGTGACATGCTATAGAAATAAAAATTGGCTAGAGCTGGGGACAAAGTGTCCTAGAGAAAAATTGTCTATGTTGTCACTATGGGTCAACACCGACTTGATGGCAGGTAATCAAAATAAACACTCATTTTGCAACATAGTAAATATGATTCTGCCTTGCAATGAGATAACACTGCCCCACAAAGTTACATTTCAATTTGAACAGTTACACACAAATTTAAATTTACTGGTAGGAAAGCCTAAGGAATTACCTATATAATTTCAAAATTTACAACCCAGCAGGATACAAAACTCTCTCACTCCAAAATCTTAAAATGTGAATTCTGGTTTGTTCTAACTATACCACTGACTCAGAAGGAATTTCATCTAAATGTATTCTACCTCTACTTTATTGGAAAGAAATGCAATTAAATATTTTTTTTTAAAGCTGACTGCTTTAAATGCATTTAAATCCAGTGCAAACCCTACTAATGTTCTTTCATCACAGAGTCTCAGAAGGAAATTCAGAACATACCTGACTGTAAAGGAGAGAGCAGACTCTAGAGGAAGAGTATATGGTAGCATCAATGTAGAGGCCAAACGCACTGGTAGAAGATTGGCAATGCAAGTGAATAATCCCCTCCTTTCAGTACAGGCTTCCAAAAGTGCTGCAGATGGAGAAGGTATATTAAATCAATGTCTCCGGCCAACGTTTGAGCGTAGAAACCAATGATATTTTTTTAAAAAATTCAACCATTTAATTGCTCCACCTCTAATCCAGTTGCAAAGGATTTTATTCCTCAATGCTAAATCTTACCTTGTCTGTTATACGCCCTCCCCAAATTTGCACATATCCATGATTTAAATGACACCCCTATTACTACTTCATGAGAGTCTAAATGAAGGAAAATTCAACTAAAAATAAATAATTGGGAGTTTTTGTTTAACTAAATTGATTTATATTGGTGTAGTTTCATGATATTGTCCCTTTCTCTGGGTCCTTTGGACTCAGATACATTTTACCATCATTAAGAAGTCACTGATGTTTCCTTTATGCAATAGTTCATTAAGCTGTTTAGCTTTAATTAAATGGAAGGTAGTCAGATATTGGAGGCAAAAGACATGCAACTGATCATTTTCAGGCATGTCCAATATTTAATCCTTTTCATCCATTTTTTAATCATTTTTACTGTCACTAGTTTTTTTCATTTGATTTTTACTAAATTCGTGTTCTAATTCTTTTGTCCACCCAGCATTTTTATTATAGTACTTTTTTGAATTTCCCATAAATCTTTCCAAAACTGGATTCTTTCCTTTTTGTTTGCATTTTCAGAATTTCTACTGTCATTTATACTTTGGTAAAATTGCATCTAGTCTGATTGAAATAACTGATTTTGCTTTAATTGGATGATTTGTGACCCACGGTGTTCAATTTTCCTTGCCATTGCTATTATTTGCTGCTTTATGATTTCCAAAGCTGCTTCAATGTTTCTGGTGCTAAGCCAATACTTTTTTATTAGGCTTTTCTTGATCCTTACATTTTCCAATTGCTCTTGTTTAAATTATCTGATCTTAGTTTCTTTATCTGGGTCTCCAGTCTGACCTTCCACTTTGGGATTGAATATGATTTTGATTTTGGTTTTCTGATTACGATACATAGTTCTTTTGTAACCCCACTGCTGTACTGTAGGAGAACTGATCGGTCTGTTTGATAAATGTTATTTTAATCCTTGCAAGCGTCTTATTCAGTGGTGCATTAATCATTAAGCAGACTAAGCATGTGCTTAGGGCACAAGGCCCAAAGGGGGCACCACCAAGTTGAGAAAGAAAGAAAAAAACAATGAAGATTTGTACAGTATATACAAAGGAGGAGAACACCAAGATTTGTCAGTGCTTAGGGCACCAGTAAGCCTTAATCCGCCACTGGCCTTATTCACATACCAAGATGCCAAGTCTTAATGCTACTCTTATAGATGCCAAGTCTTAATGCTACTCTTAATGATAACAGTCCTTGTCTTTCTACTAAAAATTCTGCATAGACCATAATTTTCTCTTTTACTCCTATTAGGGAGGTCAGTTCATTGTCTATTTTAGTGCTGGCCTGTACTGGTTATGTTATTAACTAATTAAATTATCATTTCTATAGTTCATATCTGCTTTTTCTTTTATATTTAGAATTGCTATCTGAATTTCTTCTACTTCTACGATTGTTTTTGGTCTTCCATTTTCATATTTTTTCTGACTTTTTTCCATTCTGTATTCCTAAATATTTTATTTCTGGTAATGAATCGCCTTTGATCTAATCATTGTTCAGTGAAATTCAAATCTGGATAATTATTGTTATTATCAAATGTTTTATCTTGCCTTTTTAAAATATAAGGAAGAAAATATATTTAATACTGCTTCTTCCTCCAGTTTTCCCCACAACAACAATCCTGTGAAATGATTTGGGCTGACAGAGTGACCAGCCCAAAGTTACCCAGCTGGCTTTCATGACTAAAGCAGTCCTTGAACTCAGGATCTCTTGGTTTCTAGGTTAGCACCTTCACCACTATAACGGACTAGTTCTCTTATGTTCACAAACATCTTGCAACTTCACAGCTTCTTCACAGCTTCAGCAGTTCTCTGTTAACGAAACTGACAGTTCTTTGATTTTAACAACACCAATTGGTGTTCCTGAAAACTTGTATTCCAATCACCAATTGATATAGTTAAAATCAACGAGTTGTTCATCCCCTCAGCAGAGCCAGGAATTTAAATTTGGTCTGTGATTATCTTGAACCAAGATTGGTGCAGGAATTATATGAATTCCTTTGTCCTCCTCCAAGAGCAATATGCCTACATGCTGACATAATTTCTTTGAAAATTTGCTCATCTGGTTTCTTTAAAAAGCATATTTGGAACAGCCATTCCATGCCCTCCAGATGTGTAAATTTCAACTGGCAGGATTCTCAGCAATAGCCTGCCATGCTCGCTGGTAATTCTTGGAGTTGAAGTCAATGGATCTGGAGGAAAAGGGCCAAGTCAGGAAAAACTGGCCTAGAACCTGAACAACTCAGTTAAATTGGGGAGAAAGCAATGCAGCAACTTTCCTCTTCAACAAAAGATCTTACCTTGGTTCAGTTTAGGAGGCAAATGTTCCAGGATGTGTTCTTCAGCCTCTGCCAGTTCAGCACTTTCTTCCAGCTGATCATCCTCATCCTTTTCTTTTTCAGGGTCCGTTTCCTCAGCACCACTGCTAATGGCTAGCAGAGGGAGGGGAGGTCTTTGGAGGAGAGCTAGAGAAATAGGATAGGCGACAGAATTGTGAATTCATCAGAAAACATCATTAGACTGTTAGATTATCTTCCCTTCACCATATCACCTAGGAGAACATGGCAGTAGCAGATAGAAACAACATTGTGCAAGAAAGCCAGCTTGTTGACTATTATGTGCCATAAGCAGAGGACAAGAAGCACCTGGGCAAAAATAGGTTTAAAGTAGCTTTTAAAATGAATTCTGGCATTTCTGTATAAATATTCTGTGTTGTTTTATAAGCATCAAACTGCTAGTAAGTGTAGGTCCTTCTGTTAAAAAAATACAGATGGAGAAGATATTCAAATGTACAATTTACCCCTGTTTAGAAGCAAAATAGATGAAACTCAACAACTTAGATAATTGTCTTTATGTAAAAATCAAACCTGGATATTCAGCTGAATATCATTCAATTAGTGACTCTATAGCTCTACTCTTAAGAGGACAGAAATCTATATATAATATGACATGACATGACATAATAAGAAAACTTTGAAATTAATACAAGTAATTAGTCTGAGAATACATAATTACGGTTATTTAATCGCAGCACATAAGTAGCATGCTACCATGATTAAAAACAACTCAGTGAATAAAATGGTTGCATGAGAAATTTGCACCACTAGGTGATGCTATAGAGACAGACAATTTACTGCAGTTACAGAATTAGACAACCTAAGGGTTCTACACAATCACATGACTTTCGGCTACAGAAGATGCCCCTTCAATACCACGTAGGCACCTCTGGAGGCAGATAGCTCCTCTGCCAGGAGAGTGCATTACGTGGCAGCTAAACAGAGAAAATGTTTTCTTGTTGGGTCTGAAATTGTTCCTCCATAAAGAAAATATGGAAAATATAGTGTCTCTCAGTATTGGCATATTACTAGGGTTCTGAAATTTATAGGTCAGCAAAATCCAGAGGATTACATTATGGCCTCTGGCCAGCCTATTATTTGAATTGAATATAAATTTGCTGTTATTCTTTTCATTGGTATAATTAATTTTGATCATTTTTTTTTGCATACCACCCCATTTCTTTAAGAATGGTTTAAAATATTTTTGAACAAGCCACACAACAAAAGGTGCTTAATCATCATACTATTCCACACCTTCCATTCCTTTCAAGGAAGTTTGTATGCAATTCGTTGACCAAGTAACATTTTCTATTGTATCTCTTATGTATAAATAAAAAAGTTGCAGATGCCTGCCATTCAAAAAGAAACTTTTCATTTAAAAATAAATCTCAATTTGTGCAAGAACATTGAGTCATTTTTTAAAATAATACAGAATAGAAAAAGAATTAAAGTTCAATTAAGCAATAAGCAATAATATCAGTGTTGGAAATTCATTTTGTAGTCATTTGACTGTTCTTCCTTCCTTTTGGCTTAGCGGGGAAGTTTTTATTTTTGAAATTTGAGCACTAACATATATAATCCATGCATGTATCCAAATAACGTTGCTCTTATTAAAAGGGACTGCAAGAGTTGCACAGTTTCTACCCAGCGAAAAGGAACTATACAGGGTGATATAGTCATGGCTGGAATGCAAGACAGGCTCTCTTTTTTAATACTCTGTTAGAAATAGAGAAAAGAACACCTGACACAAGATTCACTTTTGCTATAGAATGCAAAAATTATTAAGAACTTACCATTCTTCTTCAAAAAGTGAAGAGCGTCCTTGTAGCCCTGCTTGCACATTTCCTGGAGAACCTGAGAGAGATAAAAGCAGCATGTTACTTACAATTAGCTGTAAGACATCTAAACACTGCACTACCAGCATAGCCCAGAGACTTCAGCAGAGGGAAGAATCCATATCTCCAATTGTACTTCCCACTCATAGAGCCCCTGGCAGAAAGAGGTATCTCCAATGGAGACCTCTGCATCAGGCACGACAAGCAGACGTGACCCACTGTAGACTGGGTTTGATCAGATAGAAACACAGTTAAATTAGCACATCTCCGGTTGTATTGCTGAATAGAATAGAATAGAATAGAATTCTTTATTGGCCAAGTGTGATTGGAAGCAGAAGGAATTTGTCTTTGGTGCGTATGCTCTCAGTGTACATAAACAAAAATAAAATACATTCATCAAGAATCATAAGATACAACACAGTGGTAGCCCTAGGTTACTAATAAGCAATCAAATCATACTAGGAAAAAAATAAAACAATATAAATGTTAAAGACGCAAGCAACATGGTTATAGTCGTAAGTGGGAAGAGATAGGTACTAGAAAGGTTAAGAATAATAATAATAATACAGTCTTTGACAGTGTTGTGGGAATTAGTTGTTTAGCAGAGTGATGGCATTCGGGGAAAAACTGTCCTTGTATCTTCTTGTTCTGGTGTGCAGTGCCTTATAGCATCATTTTGAAGGTAGAAGTTAAGGAAGTTATAATTAAGGATGTATTAATTATACATTAATTAATTTACATGTAATTAATATTGATTATTAATTAATATTAATGCATGACCAATTAATGTTAATTATTAATTAATGCATATGTAATTAATGTTACTTAAGATTAATTAAGATTAAGGAAGTTATATGAAGATAGAGATGCTATTAAATAGCATTAAATGAAATAGTATTTCATTTTACAAAGTGGTCTTAATCCAAGTTTTCTGACAAGTTGGGATAAAGCAAGAGGCACGATTAACAGAATGGTCATGAAAAGAATGGCGTAGCCACAGGAAAGACAAGTAAACACCTCAGGTCTGATCCTGAAATGGGACTCTGTGTGAAAAAGGAGAATTGGTGAAAGTCTTCTTTCTCCATGGGGAAGAAAGAAACTCAATAAAAAGTTCTGCCAATTCTGCAAAAAAAAAAAAAAATCTATTTTTCTGCCATTGGAATGAAACATCTGCCCTCTAGCTGCTATGTTTCCAAACTATTGAAGGCATATTGTCCCATGAGTTTTCGGCACGAACCAGCTTAACAATCTACAAACAAGTTGCTTTTAGCATCTTCTAAAGCATGGGTGTCAAACTCACGGCGTCACATTGCGGTCAAGTGTCATATTGCGATGTTTCCCCCTGCCCTTTGTGGAGCTGGAAGGGGCATGGCCTGCACATGATGCATCCAGTCTGCAGGTTGCCAGTTTGACACCCCTGTTCTAAAAGGAAAAACTGAGCTCTGGAATTCATTTCAGTTCTCTCTGCTAGCACTACAGGAAGAATCTCTATTTTTTCTTGTATCAAAGTCATGTGTTGCGTCTGCTTTCTCAACATGTTAATTCTGTTTGTGATGTGTGTGCATTGGCAAATACAGGTGTTCCTTGCTGTTATAAAAATGCAGGCAAATTGTGCTGGGAAGTCATGAGAGGGATTGGCAGTAGATTATAGCTACTTCCTAAATCAGAAATTTCCTAAAGTACTACAAACTATGAAAAATAGAAAATCAACAATAACAACAACAGCAATATTGAATCAATCTGCCAAAGGACGAAGGCCTCTTTACTGAAGATTATTAACTATAATTTTCTTTGCTCTTCCAGCACAGTTTGGTACTTGTAAATACTAATAGTTTTTTAAAAAAACTTTCCAGTCTAGATTGGGAGTGACTGGCCTAAAGTCACCCAGTTGGATTCAATGCCAAAGTCAAGCTTAAAAGCTGAATTTCACTCTCTTAGTTCAGTACCTTAACTGATATAGCATACTGGCTCTTAGTTTATTTAAATAAAAAAAATATGAAAATGTCTTATCATGGTGGGGAAGGCTCACCTGGGGCTCTGGAGGAAACAGGGCTTTTGAAAGGCGGTACAAATTGCGTAGATTAAACTGAATGCTGGTATTGGTGATTCTGAGTTCATGAATGTTTGTGGAACTATCCCGTGGACAAATATCACTCTCCCCAGAGAAAGGGGATACAGTGATGGTGTTCTTCAACTCATATTGAGGCAGGTTGTCAGAAATCCCTCCATCAACGTATCTCTGGGGAGAAAAGAAAATATGACGTTTAGCTTCTTTTTATCTCTTGTCTTTTTATAGTCCCCCGTCTGTTCTTCTTCAGATCACTAAATGCACATAGTCACACATGCAATGGTGTGTATAGTTATTTGGTTATATATAGTCCATTTTACTAGAGCATCAAACGAAACAGTCTCTAGGAGGAGAGAAGGGTGAGCGAATGATAAAACATTAATTGCAATTTCGTGACATGAACATCTGCTCTTGCGCTGCAAGGTAAGTCGCAAAAGGCCTATCTTGCATCATCACAATACAATACATAATTCATCATTTGGATCATTATGGTAAGGGATGAATAATTATGGAACTGAGAAATCAAGGGAATGGTTGTTGTTTTTTTACTCCCCAATAAATCACTACATATTTCTGCAAATTTAGTGGATGAGATCTTTGCTAATTCTGTTTTATCTAATAGGGTGTAGTATTGGGTAGATTCTGAGTTCTGTTCTCAAATGAATAAGATGAGGAAGAGGTGATGAAAGCATTTTTCTGAAATAAAGAGTAAGCCCCCACATTTCTAGCAACTTTATGTAACAACCGCAATAAGTAAATAAATCTCTCTTTTTTTGGCCTTTCACTTAAGTTCCAGAAAGTAACAAAAAGTTCATGTTGACCTCTTCTACAGGTTCCAGGCTGCAAAAAAGAAGTTAAACAAAGATTAGTCTACAGGCTTTTTCTATCTTGTGCACATGCTGCACACCTTTGTAGTTTCCTTCCCATAAATAGAGAGACAGGATACTTTAATACTGTACATCAGCTTCAGAATCCTGTGTGCCCTTCTAATGGCCCCAGCCCTTTCCTCCATTGTGACAGTACAGACTGAAATTGGAAAAAAGGTATCCAAGCAGCCATGGTTTGATGTTGTCTGAATCTCACACTGTAGTTATTCTTATTTGTAGCTAAAAACAAATGTGGGCAAGATTAATCTCTCGGCTATGATGTGTTTCAACAGAAGCATAGCCTTCTAAGTTCCTCTTCCTGTTTCAACAGTGGATGATCAGACAGATAAGCAGCAGACATATCTGTGACTCAAAACCACTCATTTTTATCCCTGCATCTGAATGAAACTCACTGGGCTCTGACATAGCATAATTCTTTCAGCTCTGCACAAATTTAAATCTGTCTGGTTTGGGTGGGTGGTTATTGGCCAGTTCCCTATTCCATTGAATTTTAACAAAAGATTTGAATGCCATCGGGAGTTGCACGAATGTGTTACAGAATACAGTCACATACCATTCAGATAATTCATCTCTTATAGAAAAGCTGATGCCCAGAAAAACAAATTAATGCCAATCTTGGAGTGAAATAATTTACATGGAAAAACTACCTCTGTTGTAATCATAATCCCAATATCCAAATGCAAGAAAAATCACCCTGTTTACTGTGTTGTGATTATTTACATGTTATAGCTTCAAAAGCAAGTCAGCTTCTCAATTATATACCTTCCTGAAGCTCAGGAAGTGGTAACATTTATTGAATAATAGATATCCCATTTGGAATTCTAAAATGTCAGAATTAACACTATGGCTTAAATGTAAAGAGCCACCAATGGCCCTGGTCCCTTTAATTTCAAAAAATCCACAATGACCACTGGACTGCATTAACCAATGACGTCAAAATGTTTGCCAGGCAGAGATCAAGAGATTGTTTCTCCAGAGGGCCAAAATATAACGTGCTGTACTTAAGGGGCTTTGGAAGAAAAAGAACATGTCCAGAAGATACTCAGTAAGAACTTTCCCCCAGTGTTGAGTTAAAATATTATCCACCCATTCTCGAGTTGGTAGCAGCTTATACAAACCAATCTGTATCTTTCCTCTACTGCCTGTTCTGACCCACTGCTAAATAAATGGTTCTGTTCACATTTTTAATGTACTGGGTGTGATAGGCAAAGCAACTGGTTGATCTTCCAATTTCACTGGCCATCCTCTTCAATACACCACTAGCTTTGGGGAAGATCATCTGCCAATCATGGTGGTGCAGCAAAAAAGGGATGTGTTTTGGAAATAATGTTTTGTTGTCATATTTCAAGACTCCTTTTTATGCTTCTTCTGCTGTCCTTCATTCTATAGTAATTCAAGTTGAATTATTTTTTTTAATGGAACCACAAAAAGGTATGACTAAGCAGCATTTTTATTCAGAATCTGCCTCCTGTGCTTTTCCTTATTATCATCATCATTATTATTTTTACTGGTAGAGAATTGTACAGGGTGGATAGATGGAGGAGGTTTTCCATTATTCCACTGTTAGGCAGTTTAAGAGTTAGCAGCTTACTATGTTGCTAGCTAAGCGGGCTAATGCTACTGAGACCAAAGGGGAAAAGGTTTGCTTGCCTGAAATCTAGATAAGCCTATAAACACATCTCTGATCCCAATTAAGGACAAAACAATCTCTCCCTAACCTGAAATCCTTCTAGAAGTTAAAAAACCATGTTCGCTTTCGAAAACTTATCTGTCACTCCTACTCACAATGGTCAAGAGCCAAACTGAATCTCAAGTGTATCAAGTGATACAAATACTAAAAACAGAAGAAAGTTCAAAGTGGAGTGGAAGTCAACTGGCAAGGAGAAGGGGAAGCACAGCATGTTCTCCAGCAACCAGCATGTTCCTATAATGTTCCGCAAAGCCAGTTCCAGAAAACTCAGTAGTTTCCAAGTTTAATAGAATTTGTATCCCGCCCACTCCCATAGGGACTCTGGGCGGCTCACAACAGACAAGAAACATTTAAAATTAAAAAAAATAGAAATAAAAAATAAAAAATACAGTATTAAAATTTACATCCCCCATTCCATCTAAGCGGGGCTAGATATCAATCAACAGCCCCAGGCCTGCCGGAACAGCCAGGTCTTGACAGCTTTACGGAAGGCCGGGAGAGTGGTAAGGGTCCGGATCTCTACAGGTAGATCGTTCCACAGGGCCGGCGCAGCAACAGAGAAGGCCCTCCCCCGGGGAGTCGCTAGCCGGCATTGTCCGGTTGACGGCATCCGGAGGAGGCCCAACCTGTGCGATCTTGTTGGTCATTGGGAGGTAAGTGGCAGGAGGCGGTCTCTCAGGTAGCCAGGTCCTAAACCATGTAGGGCTTTAAAAGTAATGACTAGCACCTTGAAGCGCGTCCGGAGACCAATAGGAAGCCAGTGCAGCTCACGGAGGATAGGTGTAATATGGGTGTATCTAGATACACCCCGTATCGCTCGCGCGGCTGCGTTCGGGACCAGCTGTAGTCTTCGAACACTCTTCAGGGGCAGCCCCATGTAAAGCGTGTTACAGTAATCCAGTCATTACTGTATGTTAGCTACTAGCTGGACAATTAAGTATGCAAAACTACACAAAACTTTTGCACCAAGACTTTTCCACTAACAATAAGATCAGTTTCTGCTTTTCTTCCTTCGTCCCCTTTCAAAAGCTCTACATTTATACTTTAATCAAAGAATAACAGCTGAATAGATATAAGAGGCAGCCAGTTACAATCCTGCATTATATTTCCCTTTTACTTCGTGTTTTTACTCAACATCAGGAACAGAATCTAGCTAAATTGTGAAATTGTCTGCTGAGAGTTGGGTGATATTGGTGGGTGAGTCAACTTCTCAAGCCCCGCCCATATTGGCAACATGCCAGTTATTAGAAGCTACCCTTTTAGGTTGCTGGGGCATTTTGAATTATAGGTAGCCTTTGACATACAACAACAATTAGCAGTTCGACTTATATACCGCTTCATAGGGCTTTCATCCCTCTCTAAGTGGTTTACAGAGTCAGCATATTGCCCCCAACAACAATCCGGGTCCGCATTTTACCCACCTCGGAAGGATGGAAGGCTGAGTCAACCCTGAGCCGGTGAGATTTGAACAGCCGAACTGCAGAACTGCAGTCAGCTGAAGTAGCCTGCAGTGCTGCATTTAACCACTGCGCCACCTCGGCTCTTATTGGGCCCGGAATCTTGGTTTTTGAGCGAAGCAGTCATTTAGCAAGATGCCCATGCGACTACTTCATTCAATGATCACAATCCCACCTCTCCCGGTTGTTAAACAGGTGCAGCTGTTAAACAGACAGAGCAAAACAGCATCTTGCCTCAGGAGAATAGGCAGCTGCTCTCCATGCACGGAAGGGAACTTTGCCCTGGCCTGGAGAAGCAAAGCTTGGATCTTCAGGAGCTTTGTTTCCGTAGCCTGGCAAAGGATTCCTCCCCACCCCACCCCTACGCCCAAGGAGAAATTTGTTGGCAGGCGGCAGCAGCAGCTTGCAATCTTTCCTGTTGGCTTACGCATTAAATTTCTGTGGAACCCAGCAGAGAAGACTCCAGATTATGATCACAGGGCGCTTGGCAAGCAGTAAGTACAAATGGATTGCCAAGCACCCAGATCACTATCGCATGATGATGAGGGGAAGCAGCATAGCCCCATCAGTCATGAATCAAGGACTTCCTGTATGAATCTGTCTTTGGTTCCCACTTAGACTATACCATTAACTAATCAGGACCCAGTGAGTTGCAGCTTCAAAGCAATTCAAACATGTTTAAAATAGTGTCTTTCTTAGAATTCCAATGCAAAAATATTCTAGTCTACCTTCATCTCTTCCCTCCTGCATTAACCCAAGGTTTCCTGCACTATTCACCCTTCCTTATAGTCATAGAAGCTAATTTGGAGATTTCAGAACAATCACGGTCTCTAGCCTATTTCATTGGGCTTTTATTGAGAAGAAATAAAAGATTGCTACATAAATTTTCTTAAGCTCCTGGAAAAAAGGCAGGATAGTAAGTTAGCTAAATAAAATGTAAAATTTCTATGTCTGTTTGTATGAATTAAAACAGAGTAACTAAGTGGCGGAACTATTTCACTTCTGCCTTAACTAGCCAGCTTTTCTCCCATGAAGGTCTTAATGTAAATATGTAGGCTTAAGCAATCAGATGTTTTGAAGCTTCAGTTGCCCATTTTTAACGTGGGAATAATAATGCTGATCATCCTTGGAATGGCCACGGTTTGCTTAGTATCTGTGCTTTACAGACAGTGTTGATACTAGAGCACTGGTTATTCAACTAACAGTGAAAAAGCATGAGAATCCCAATACCCTCAAAGAATCGTCTCAAGCAGAAGGACTGGAAATGGAAATGGCTCGTTGCTGTCAAAGAAACAGCCCAGGTTTCTGACTTCCGATGAAAGATGGCCAAACGATGGCAAAAAGGGGGGAATTGCTAAAGGCAAGCTAAAATAAGAGAAGCTTTGAGTACCTTTTTTAAAAACTTTGATGGAGAAACTTAAGGGTAGACATTGGTTGTTTTACTATTTTTAAGTAATTTGTAGCTTGGTTTGTTTTGCTGTGGGTGATTAAAAACTTTCCAATTTTTATAAACTCTGATTGACAGAAATTCTTAAGGAACTCACAAAAACTTTATGCTTTGACCATAATAAGGAATTAATAAGATGGAACATGGATTTAAGCAAATGTGTGATTGAAAAATTCTTAAATAAAACTGTAGATCAATAATTATTAGATCAATTATTTCTAAGGATAGTAAAATACTCAAACTATTTCAGAGATGTAATTATGTGGGGAAAAAAATTATCAAACCACTGAAATTACTGAGGCAATTTTCAGAAATAGCTGATAATACAAAGGACTAGATTGCAACTTTGGAATATAAATCTGACACCAATCTTTATTATGATGATAAACCTTCCAGCGTAATTGAAAGAAATGTTCCAAGAAAATCTGCAACTTTCAAGAGGACAAGTTTGGAACTTTCCCTTCATGGATACTAACAAGCTTGAGAAAAAGAGAAGTCTATAATTACTTGATAGATATTCCAAACAAGAAAAAGATTTTATTTTATGAACATAAGCTGGAAGCAGTGGCTTAATTTTAATAAATTAGAGTAAGGATGGATTTTTGCCAGTTTGATATATGTAATTGAAAGAAAGTTTTAATGTAAAGTGGGTTTGACAATATGTTTTTCCCTTTATTATAATGCTTAAGTAATTCCCAAAGCTTGTAAAATAATTGAAAGAGTATTAGAAAGAATTTCTGTCAAGTTAAAAAAAAGTATTAGAATTTGTTGATTTTACAAATATTTTTAAAGAAAAATTTAAAGTTTTAAATGAATGTAAAAAAGGTGTTTTAAAGGAAAAAAGTAAGTCTTGCTAATATAAGTGATGATAACCTATAACGATTAATAAGAGCAGATAGAAATATTTTTTCCACAACAGAGATGATTATTTTGTTTTTAATTGGAAACTGCTTCTAGATTTTGTACTTATGATGGGAAAATGAAATTTTGGTTTTGTTGATTAGATAGGTTTTTTGTTATAAAAATAGCTAGTATATATTATTGTATAAAAGTAAAAAGTTGATTTTGTAATGTTATTATTTTCTACTATTAAAAGAAGTTGAAAACCAACACCTTTTTTCTTTTTCCCTTTTTTACCCTACTCTCTTTTTCTATTTTCCTGTCCCCTAGTTCCCATTATTTTTATTTTCCTTTGAATTTTATATTCTGATAAACTAATTAAAAGTTTGAACTCCACCCCCACCCACCCCAAAAATAGCCCAGGTTTTTCTCCAAGTCTTAGCAGAATATATTTTATTTTCTGCTTTGGCACACCAAAAAATGTTTTTACCAAGTTTTAAAACAAACTCATGGCAATGCTGAAGACCATTATATGGACTGTGAAGGCTCGCTTTGAAACCTCAAAGTTCCAGGTTTGGTCATCGATATCCTAGTTCAGGCAGCTCTTCAACTTCAATAAAATGTTGTGACATTTCCTTTGTGGCAACACGTGTTTCCTCCAAAACTGTTCTTCAATACTTACTCAACAAAGAAAAGCAAACACTGAGAGCAACAAATTTTGGCTTCATTCTACTAAACCTAAATTAAGTTTTGCTAAATATACGTTATGTCTATAAACATTATGGCCCAGAAACATAAACGTGACACTACAAATAAAACTATTCCCCTAAACTCTGCTGAAAATGTTACCTAGCCTGGTTAATGAAACATTCGGAAACCAACCCACAAGTCGGAAAACGAACCTTCACCCTCATCCTACACCCGAGTTACTGGTATTCACCACTGTTGCAATACTATTTTTCTTTTCTTCTTTTCCCTTTTTGGGGGAAAAAAATGTCCTGTTTTCTCCCCTTTTTATTTTTTTCCCTTCCAAACATCAGAGCTCTAATTGCTTGATCTCAGCAAACAAGAAAAATAATTCAGTCTTTTGAAAATAGTTTGATTACAACTGTACATTGTTCTGATTATTTTGCCAGAATTATGGAGCATATCACGTCATCTTTCCCAGTCTCCAGGTTTCCTCTTTGCCTCTTGATGAAACATGAAAATCAGGAATAGGCTCTTGTCGTACAATACGAAACAGCTGAAAGTTAAAACACTCTGGTGCTTACTTACCACTCCTTGAAGGGTTGGAGGGATCAGGCCACAGTATACTGGGATGAAAGTGCTACAGACACATGCCTGGGGGAGAGATGGGAAAACACCATGTTAAAAAAATGAACTGACTAGAGAAGCCTGCAGTATTTGCAGAAGATAAATCCAGGCAGAGCATGAAGAAAGGAGAACTTCCATGACAGGAGTAGGTCATATCAGCTCTATTGGTTCCTGGGAGATAGGCATTTATGGCTTCATGTTGAAAGCTCCTAGAAAGCCCCAGAGTTACAACTTGCCTGGACAAGCTCTTCTTTGGAGTTGAACTCTGATAATATGACGTTTTCTCCATCTGAAACCCGGGTTAATGAAATGCCCAAACGTCCGGTGGCCAACTCATGTGCATTGGCTAATAAGGTTTTATATAAGCAGGCACGGATGATTTTCACCAGGTTGAAGGACGGGTGTAAAGGGCCAAGAAACCTCTTCCGGGCCTCTTTGGAGACATGGATGATATTTGCTCCAGCATCACCTAGAATGAAGAAAACAATATATATTTTAAATGATTAGGGATAAGAGTATAATAGATAAAGTTTTAATTCAAAATTAGCTTATGCTCATTTTCATCAAATTATTGGATTAGTATCCCACTTTTTCCTACCATTTCAAGGTAACTTACATGGGGAGATTTCCTTCATTTTAACAATGATTCTGCAGTGAAGATTGGACTAAGAGATGGTGACCACCAAAGTCTCCCAGTAAATTTCCAGGCTTGAGAGTGAATTTGATGTGGAACTCCCAACTCCTAACCCAACTCCTTAACTATTAAATGACACTTGTTTTAAGTCCACTGACCCATGGAATTAATGTATAAAATGAGATTTGAAAATCACATAGTGCCAAAATAAATTATGGCTTAGTATGCTGTGTGAAGCAGGCCATGGATTGTTAACATCCATTTTCAAAAATACCACTTGATAAATTTATTTTATTGCAATTGAAGAGTTCCCGATTCCTGAAAAATTGTACATCATAAACATTTAAAGAGGTATCTAGGCAGTGCTGAACAACATCCCAAAAGTTATATATTTAATACAACACACATGCATCCAGACTACTTATGTTTTTCATATTTTAATCTCTTGATTTAAAAATTAGATATCTTAATCTAGGTGGGCATTTATAGTCCTTATTAAAAAAAAATCAAACTAAGTAATGCTGAAATTTTCAAAGGCATACAAAAGCATTCTTTATGTTGATTGAACCATTTCTAAAGCTAAAGTTATGCCCTCAGGCTTCCTCGCCATAAAATATGGCCCAAATATTGATAGAATATTAAAATGATAAATATAGCATTTATAACTTTCTAAGCATTGTTTATTTAATCTATAAAATATTTAACAGTAATCCGATTACAATATAATTCTGTTAAATTTGTTTATAGTTCTACATTATACACAAGAAAAACTATCTAGCACATGTTAATTGGACACGATATATATTAAACAGCTAAATAAACTGCTCTGGGGAAAACAGCAAGAAATATGGTTTCCCTAAAAGTATACATAACTTGTCAGGTTTTCTATCTTGAGCTCAGGAGTACATCACAGATTTGATACCATTGAACAAATCTAACCCAGTGACTGTCAACTTGTAATTAGGGCATCTTTTGGAAACTCCACATTGACAATGTGTTAACTATTAAACACAGCACTGTTTTCAGGACAACGTTGTTGCCCAAAGTTCTCTTTATCAGCCATCTCTGAGCTGGGAAAATTATCTCATTGCTAGTTGACCTTTTCCCCCAAGACCAAAGTTGTTTACCTTACACTGTGTTTCCTGCTCATCATAAATATACTCAAGGTTAAACAGAGCTCAACTGACTGTGTTATAATAAGTTATGCTATTTTTTCCTTTATTTTCCTTTATTGGCAGCCAACTTTCCCAAGGGACATTCCTTTCAATCAAATACCATCCCTAATAGTCAGCAATAGTCACCTGATTGAAAGACACATGCCTTTCAATCAAATGCCATCCCTAATAGTCAGCAACAGTCACTTTATACATTTTTATTTGGGGTTTTGTGCTTTCAAGTTAGATTTCACTCCTGATAACCATCTGGGCAAGTTCACGTGCAGTGATGTTTTGAATTTTCGATATTTCTGCATACATATGACCTAAAATGTGATTTGTTCTCCACACAAGTCTAGATACAGAGATAATCCAATTAAACAAATTAAGTCAAGAAAATGGTCCAAAGTTATATATTTGTGTATGTGAAAAGTACATGGATCTCTAAGATTATCAGTTTATTTGAAGGGGAAATTAAAGTCAACTGTTTCAGTCAATGGGACTGGAAGATTGAGTGAGCAAAACCCTGTTTACCCACAAGCAATGGTAGGGCAGTGGTGCTATTCAGCTGGTTCTATCCAGTTCGGGTGAACCGGTAGTGGTGGCGGCGGGAGGCTCTGCCCACCCACCCAAACATCATCACATCCTGTTTTTGACGTTCTGCTCATGCACAGAGCGTGCACACTCACATTTGCGAACCAGTAGTGAAGGTAAGTTGATTTCACCCCTAGTGTAGGGGTCACCATATGGTTTTCATGGTAAGAACTAACACCTCAGTTCATCCCAGGAAGAACCAAGGTACTTCTCAGAACACACAAATCTTGCCTTTTAAACTTCAGGTTCTAGTTTAGCTATATAAATTCTGATGATCATTTCCAATTCTAAATATGGGCCATCAATTCCATTGGTGGTTTTACTCTGTTTCTCGCTGGTTCCAGTAAATTTCAAATGAACTTGAAATTAGGAGAAGGAAAGTTTCCATGTGTATTCAAAAATGAATCCACCATTTAACCCCACACGATAATGAAATTGCAGCATCCTTTTTCAACAACAAAACCTGTTTCTTTGTTTTCTGAAATGGAAACTAGCAGCAATTATTTTCATGAATCTCCGCAAAAGAGATTAAAATTAAATGAAATCAATTAAATTGTTTGTTAAGAAAAAAAATTAAATTAAAAGAGAATGTTTAAACTAGGATAGTTGTTGAACATAATCACAGCTTTTTCTTATCAAGGGCTTTAGAAGTACATTTATAGAAATCAGAGAGCAATTGCTTCATTCTTGGCCTCCCCTTTAAACTGGAGTAGGTCAGAGGCCTAATGATAGAAAAACAAGGAGACACCCATTTTTTCTCATTTCCCCTTGGGTTATTTAGCTAAAAAATCTTGCTAAAGTGTGTGTCCACAGAACTTTCTTCTAACTGCCTTCTGGGTCTTCCGTGTGATTTCTCACAAACTTTAGATGTTCTTTATGGGAGCAGTGACTTTTCCTTTGTCATCCTGTCATGCACACCATTGTTGTTCAGCGTTTTCCTGATGGTAATCCTGTGAAAACTGACATTTGTCAATGCAAGAGAGGTCTCTAGTTCCTTGGATAATAACCTGGATTCTTTGAAACTTTACACACCTTGCTCTTGGTATAATTTCTTCTGGGGAGGATAACATTGGTGTTGAATTGGTGTTGAACGCTATTTGTACACAATCTGCCTGATCAAAAAACTGGTGGAGTCCAAACACTCTGGCTATAATTTTGTAACCTGGTGAGCATCTTTCAGAAATGTTTGAGCTTCCATGAGCTTCTACATGCCCATGTGGTGAAGGATAGTCTTTGATAATGAATAGTCAGAATTCTATTCTAATATGACAGGACCTCCCACACTCACACCTGATTATCATCCCAAAGAAGTACTCAATTTCCCCTTCAAATAAACTGATAATCCTAGAGCTTCACACATTTTGCCCTACATTAATTGGTAATTTTGGATAATTTCCCTCAATAAATGAACAAGTATAATGTTTTTGACTCATATATTTAATTGGGTTCTCTTTATCTAGATTTAGCACAAGAGGAGAACACATCATATTTTTAGGCCATGCTTATGCAGAGATACTGAAGGTTCAAAGTGGTTCACACATTTCTAAGCACCACTGTGTGTCCGGGATACCAAGGGTCAACCGACTTCTTCATTTTCAGTCCATCAAATCATATTGATTATGATGCATGCATAAAGGTATTTACTGAGAGCTGGGTGAATATACATGAAGATAACTAAATAAATACAGGATTATTTGGATAAAGCTGTATGCAACATCTAGGTGCACCTGAATGACATGTACCATAGTTAAACAGTCCAACCCATATACGGTAGCCAAGTTACACTTTTAATAATTGGATTGCTGGGATGTAACAGAAACCTATCATCAAATTAAGATAAGTCAGAAAAGAACATGAACTGCTTCTCTTCACTGAATATGTTGCAGGGGGCATGGCTTGGCAAAACAATAAAAGATGCTTCAGTTATTGAAAGCACATCATCTTGTAACTTTGGCTAGTGCCAAAATAGCCTTAGAAATTGGACAGATATAGATTGAACTTCAGAATTCCTAGAGGAGAGCCCAATTTTGATGTCCTGCCAAAAGGGGATTGGTTTTATTTAGATAGATCCAAAGAGAACAAGAGAGCTGAACTCAACATGCCTAGTAACCTTGGAAAATGTTATCTATGTAAATACACACACAAACTTTGGCAGGAAAGTTCATCAGCTCAGCAAGCTGAGATATGAGAATGCCAGAGAGGATTATTAATGAAAGTTAAAGAGGTCAAAAAAATGGTGGAACAGGAAGAACCTAGTATTAAAAAAAAATCTTGATAAGTATCCCTAATATTTTAATTAGTTTACATTTTCAAGTAGACCACTTTAAAAACATACAGTTTTGTATTTATCTAATCACTCTTCTTCCAATGTTATGGGGCATCATTTCCATTTTTGTTGGTTTATTTGTCTGTTTGTTCCAACCACAGGAGAGATAACATTGGTTCTCACAGATTCTTTTCTCATCTTTCAAACTCCCTGTCCTACTCAGATGGTCTAATCTAAAATCTTTTTATTTATATTACACTTTGTTTTTTTATAAACAACTCAAGGTACTAAACATATTTACCACTACTTCCTTCTCCTATTTGTCTCATAGCAAAAACCCTTTGGAGTGAGTGTGGCTGAGAGAGATGTGACTGGCCCAAGGCCACCCAGCTGGTTTTCATGGCTAAGGTGGGACTAGAACACCCAGTCTCCCAGTTTCTAGTGGTTTTAACCATTCTAGACCAAACTTGCTCAACTTGTTACAATTTCCTGAGACTTAAATCAGAAGAAAGATGTTCAACCTGAAGCATCCAGAAGCTCCTTTGTCAGGAAAGGTTAATTTGATCTGAAACAATATTTTGGCAATATTTGGAAAACAAAAGAATTAAAATATCATCATATGCATATTAAATGTATCTGGGTAGCCACTGACAATATGCATTTTGGAATCTATAACTCTTCTTGGAAATGCTCCACTGCAGAATAAAGGGTGCTACTTCAAGCCAAGGACATTCCAGCTTCACTTGGAATTCCAATATGTCTTTCACAGAGGATATTTAATCATATGAAGCTTTAATCAGTCCAACAGGAACATAACATAG